AGCACTTTCCAAGATAATTCCAAGGTTAAATTGATATCATTATCTAATAACTTTTTTAAAACCCTATTACTTTTGGTTTCAAACATTTTTTAGATAAATCAATACTTTTTGAGATATTAATCATTCTACAATAGAACTTTTATAATATCATGCGTTATAACACTAAATTTCTTGGAACCTATACGCTCTTACTTTTTCCCTTAATTTATATCTTATGCTGTCAACTTTTATTGATATCAAGAATTTTCTAACTTATATAAACCAAGATGGTCCTGTTAGACTACCGAGGCAAGCTATTATACTTAGAACGCTCATACGGAATACAAGAGATCCGGAAGTGAAGTAGAAGTCGTTTCACGTAGAAAGGCGTAAAATATATTTTAAAGACAAATATTTCTGTTTTTTATATATATATATATATATATATATATAAAAAGCAGAAATATTTGTCTTTAAAATATATTTTACGCCTTTCTACGTGAAACGACTTCTACTTCACTTCCGGATCTCTTGTATTCCGTATGAGCGTTCTAAGTATAATAGCTTGCCTCGGTAGTCTAACAGGACCATCTTGGTTTATATAAGTTAGAAAATTCTTGATATCAATAAAAGTTGACAGCATAAGATATAAATTAAGGGAAAAAGTAAGAGCGTATAGGTTCCAAGAAATTTAGTGTTATAACGCATGATATTATAAAAGTTCTATTGTAGAATGATTAATATCTCAAAAAGTATTGATTTATCTAAAAAATGTTTGAAACCAAAAGTAATAGGGTTTTTAAAAAGTTATTAGATAATGATATCAATTTAACCTTGGAATTATCTTGGAAAGTGCTTTTAAAGTAAACACAAAAATCTTAAACTCCCTTTTTCATAGCATATCTTTACAGATGACGTTGAGATATTTTCAGAACATTAGTTACAAACTTTTTTTTCTTCATAAGAATTTTCCGAATTATGGTATTTGAAAGTTACAGTATTATGCCGCCGGCATTAGCATCACGCGCGTCTGTATATATGCGCATATGTATATATTACACACACACACACACACACGCGCGCGCGCGCGCACAAATATATATGTATATATTCCTAACGATAACATTTTTAGTTTCACGCGCAAAAATTATCTTATTACGCCGCGACTAGTCCACCTTTTTTTTTCTTATCTCTACTTTAAATCATTATTACTTTACATAAAAACACATGTAACAGTGGTGTAAATGCAACCGTGCAACCTCCACGTGATACATCTTGGATACTGCTCTTGTACGCTCTTGCCTTTTTCCTTAATTTACGTCTTATACTGTCAACTTTTACTGATATCAAGAATTTTCACTAACTTGTACAAACCGAGATGTAAAGATTCCTTATAAAAGTTTAGAACGCTCGTATGGAATACAAGAGATTCGATTCACGGTCGAGGTATCATAATATAATATTTTTCGCAATAAATTTATTTTTATTCATATATTATTCAGTACATTAACATCTTCTAATACAATGCCTGATCGAGCATCAAATTATTAAAAATTGCTTGTCAATTTAATTTGTGATATTATTACAGTAGTTTAATTGCGTTTATAAATCCAGAAAATCAATTCGGCGCGCGGTTCGAATAACTATACAAATATGGTATATATATATATATATATATATGCATGTATATATATAGTAGATATATATACACATAATTCACATTGAATTATTTAAAAGCATTAAGATTCAGCTTCGACCGGTATAGGCATTTAATTTCTGGTTCGTATTAATTGTTTAGAATTAGAAGTTAATTATATTAAGAAAGAGAGAGAGAGAGAGAGAGAGAGAGAGAGAGAGAGAGAGTTCAATTAAAAATAATTACGTTAACAAAATTATATTAACATCAAATTTAATATTCGTTTCAGCAATAAAGATTATCGTTAATAATATATTATTTTATTTTTAAGAATTAAGCATTAATTAATTAAGTATTTATACATAATTTGATTTTGATTAAAAAATGATTACGTTAACAAAATTATATAAATTAACGTCGAATATTGCAGTAATAGAGACTTCGACGGGTGACTATGGTTGTGAACTGATCGAACAAATGGTCACATGCGTTAACACGAAGTTACCGCTACTTCCAATTTTACGATCGAAGAGCGAGTTTGAGTTTGATAAAAAGAACCCGAAAATCTTGTGGATCGATCAATTCGGCACGCTAGTGAAGAGAATGATGATGCAGACTTATCGAAACAGAGTAAGCTCAACTCATTTTGCATTCTTAGATAATCAAGTCTGTCGAAATCCATTTTGGAAGAGATCAAATATCTAAAATTTTGTTAGCTGTCTTAAGGAATGTCTACATATTTTCTGCACATAAAGATAAGATTCCTCTGAATGTTTACAGAATTACATTTACCTGAAGATATCGCTACACATCTTTCTGGGGATAGTGATCGGCGGGTTGTTTTTTAATATGGGTAACGACGGCACCAAGGCTATATTCAATTTCGGCTTTTGCTTTGCATGCCTGATAGTTTTTCTGTACGTACCCATGCTACCGGTGCTATTGCAATGTAAGGAAATATTCTTTTTTACGCATAAAAAATTAGAATAAGTGACAAAAAAATAAAAAACAGTGCTGACTAATCAGTTGCTGACTAATTAAAATTTTATCTATTGATATATTTACTCGTACTTAAGAAAACGCATTTTCGTCATACAGTCACAGCATAAAGACTATGACACACAAAAAAATATAAGGCAATAAGATTTTAAACAATAAACGAAAGAGCTAATTAAAGTAGAGAAGTAATATACGCAGTTGATTTGTTTATTGCTTACGTCTTACTATTTAAATTTTTTTGCGTGCCATAGTCTTAATATTTATATTATCATAAATATAAAGACTGACGTATAAAAAAATTTAAATAGCAATACTTATTAATCGCTATAATTATAAATATTAAATGTCTTCCTAAAAATGCTATTGTTTGTAAAGACACAGAAGTGATCAAAATGCGTTATTTTTAAAAATCAAAATTGTATTTTATCGTGTTATTTATTATTTTCTCATTGCAGTTCCTTTGGAAATCCGGGTAATGAAACGAGAACATTTCAACAGATGGTACGACCTTAGTGCGTATTATTGGGCTTTAACAGTAGTCAATATACCTACACAGGTTGGTTTTCTGTAAAATTTTTTTACATAATATTTTTACTGATATTTTATACAGTAAAATTCGTTTCTTCGATGGCACTATAGTCCGAATCAAATCTTAGTTTCCTCAAAAAAAAAAATCATCTCTATATAGATTCTGATTTCCTTGCTTTTATAGTTGCAATTTTTATGGAAAGGATTTAAATTTTTCATTATTATAAATTAAAATATTAAATCTTCAACTTAATCCCATCTGTGTGTTCATCTATCCAAATATTTTAAAAATCATTCTTATTTCTTTTCCAGTTAGGTTTCGCAGTTTTATATCTCTCAATGGTCTACTTCATTACGGGACAACCTCTGGAGTTGCACAGAAGCGCCATGTTCTTTAGCACTTGCTTCATATGTGCCTTCATCGCGGAAAGTATAGGATACAACATCGCTAGTGTGTTTAATGTTGTGGTACGTTTCGAGATTGCATCGCGAAAGAAAAGAAAAAGCTTTTAAAAATCAATGAATAATCTGTTCGTTTTATCTTTTCAGAATAGTATATTCGCCGGACCTGCGTTAACTTGTCCGTTAATGTTAGTCGCGGTGCAAGATTTCGGTGATCCGAGGCCTCTACCTCTCTATCGTACAATTCCCATGTACATGAGCTACATTCGGTATGGACTGGAAGCTCTCACAACAGCCATGTACGGTCACGGTAGACAGAGACTATATTGTCCGCCAGAGGAAATTTACTGTCACTTTAGCTCGCCTAAGGAAGTCTTGCGAATTATAGGTAGGGCTCTAATTTTTCCTGAAACTCGAAAGTTTAATCACTCTAATAATTATTACTGCACGTCGCGCGCACGATTTTTTGCAGGGAATGGAAGAATTACTATTCCGTTACTTTTTATAATAACAAAATGATGTTGCAATTTTTTAGGGCTATAACTAATAATAACTAAACGCTGAGATTATGCCAAGGTTGGGAAAGTCACTTTAAAAAATAACTTGCATCATTATGTGTTTATTTACTGAAAAAGATTTGTAACGGGAAATACGACGAATAACGTTACAAGTAATGATTAAAAAGTAACAAATTATAATTAATTTTTTCAGTAACGAGTGACTTTTCCAAACCTGTACAAGTAACGATTGAATGACTTTCCAATCCCCTGATGTTATCATTACACTATTAAAAAAAATTCGTCATTACCAAATCGCTATCATAACGATAAGAAATGTAACGGCGTTACAAGTAATTAGTTTCATTTTCTGGTTTTCTAAAAGCTTTGTACCTCGATAATAATCTATAAATATCTAAAATGTTTAGTAAATTCGTCTGCATTTCAGGGCGAGAAACACCTCCGAATTTCTGGTTGGATCTAGCTGCTCTCTTCGTCATTTTGTTTATTTCTAAAGGAACCTTATATTATTTGCTGAGACAAAGGGTGCAACCAAACAAAACTTTCCAGATGCTTCAAACAATTGGAAAATTTATCAAACGTAATTTTATATGATCGTTAGTTTCGTGATTTATTTTCGTTTGTATCGTGACGTGTCGACATTATACGCTCGATGCTCTTTAAGCAAATAGAATATATTCTAGAAATATGTATCTAATATGTATTTTGAAATTGACGAAAGCACCAAATTGTCGATACAACGATATGTTAAAAGTGATATTAATTATAAAAAATAAAAAATAGAATAATTTGTAAAAATAAAATAGATAAATCATTGTACTATTTTTGTTAAATAAAAAATTAATTGAATCCTTTTATTTCTGTTACTATATCATCAAAACTAAAAATTTTGCTTCGAAGAATAACTAAAGATATTTCTATAAAAAAAATGTATGTTACTGACACATAACGTAAACTAGACTTTCACTGACAGTAAATTTTGGAACACAGCCTATATCAAAGCTCCTGAGTAGTCGCATGTTGGAATCGTAATGTCATAAGCGAGAAATGACACGTTGATTTTTCTTGCGTGCCATTTAATAATAAAGAGAAATTGGATAAAACGAAATAATGAGATTGCTTTAAAAAAGTTATGAAAATTGAAGACTCTTATCTCCCTTATCTCCCTTATCTCCCTTCACAGTTCAATAAATAATCATAAAAGGCACGTAAAGTAAAGGTTTTTTCGGTAGAAAACACAAGAGAGCTGTTGAAAGTAATAAAAAATATGTTTTTACGTATAAAATTCCAAAATAATTTGAGTCTTTTTCCATTTTTACGATTTTGATAAGTACGAGAGAAGTCACAGTTTCACAAATAAGCATTTAATAATGAAATGGCACGTACGAAAAAAATTTCGTTAACACATTATTTTTCATGCCTAAGTTCAATCAGTTATCGTGGCAAGGTGCTGTCTAGGGCTTTTAAGTATATCTAGATATTCGGATATTCGAAATCGATTCCGATTCGAGAACTCAAATATTATTCGAGTAATCCAGATATCCGAATTATTCGGATCCGCGGATCTGAGTTTGGATCTGGATCTAAATTCAGATTCAGATTTAAATTTGTCTCTGGATTTAGATGCATGTCCAAAAAGAAAGAAAATATCGATGTATTCAATGAATTTTAACATAAGTTACTTTTTAAATAAAAATAGAATTTTGATTCACATATATAATTTAAAAAAATTAATTAAAAAATTTAAATATAAATTCACACAGAATTATACAAGTACTTAAAATTCTGGATCGTTTAAAGCATTTGTTTCTATAGGTTTCTATATGTATTTCTCACATATACGTCCTATGAGATTTAGTAGTGTTTACAAATATAATTTTTTCTTTCTTTCTTTCTTTTTTTTTTAAACTCTCAATCTTAATAATAATAACAAAGATGTACTATAATAAGAGAAATATTTGTATTTCACTTTTACACTTAGATTAAATAAGTATATAATATAATGACTTTAATATCCACTCAGTCCGCACTAATGCATCCAACCGAATTCGGTATAAATTTACTACGAATCTGATTTCGACTTTTACTAATTGAATCGAGATTCGGATATCTTAGAAAATTCGAATTTCCGGATAACCCGAATTTGAAGCTCCACATTTATTCTTAATTCGGATAAAAAACGGACATCCGGATAGCTTTAAATCCGAATCAGTCTTGAAGTCCTAACACACACAAGCACGAGCCCACGTATATGTGGCTCACCTTTAGCACACCGAGAGCACATTTACATGGGTTTGTGTTTGTGTGTGTGTGGCGACATAAAATCGACGGCGGTGTGGCTACCATGAGTTGCTGAGTACTCAAGAGTTTTAAAACATTAAATTTAATTTAATTTTGTATAAAACTCATAAAATTTGTATTGCAATACCGATTATCTAAATAAAAAAATGATTTCATAAAACGATTATGAAATATAATGAAAAGCGATGGCAATGTCATCTAATGCCATCGGTGATGTCTTTACATTGCTAACACGCCTATTCGATTACAAGTTTATTAGAATTTTTCCAAGTATGCTTGATAAGTAATAAATGCTATTTATCTTTGGACACGCGTCATAGACAATATCAAGCGATAAATGTAGATAGAGATAGACAATGTTAAATGATCTGATGCGCAGCTATTGTGTACATTAACTCCAGGAAATTTTTATTCACTCTCACATTATTCAATATAAAAAAATAAAATGTTTAATAAAATATAAAATTATGTCCTTAATGTTACATATACACTGTCTTTAAATTGGGCCGTAATTATTTTTCAAACAGGAAATAATTATAAGTGTATAAAAATAATTAGAAATAATTATTATTCCGATTATTTAACGCAATGAATTATAAGAGATACATTACATGGAAATTATCTAAAATTTATTGTACAAGCTTAAAAATGTTTTATAAATAGTAATTATATTTAATTAACGCTAATAAGAAATATGCGATTTATAATTACACATGTGGCAGTGAAAATACATAGGTTTCATGATGTAACTGTTCAACGAGATCAGATAGAAAATTCCATCTGCTGCGGACAATATAAAGAACGGTAAAGACAGTGGTGGGAAAAAAAGTAGTGGGAGCATTAAGTGCCATTAATTCCGTTGCTTCCCAGGTCAGTCTCCACTCTCTCTCTTCGCACAGAACGGTTTCTCTCTTCTTAGCAGAATGTGCAAGTACAGCATAATCTCATGTATTGTCTTGTTTTATCTACAGTGCGTCACACATGGGTGAGTACAATCATGTACATCGTGATAAAGGCAACAAAATGAATTGTTTAAAATATTGTATCAATATTATTAACTAACTTGTTTGGTCAACACACCGATAACTGAAGAATTAAATATTTATAAGTAATAGACACAATCTCGATTAATAATCACTAATATCGATTAATAATCAATGATTTTTAATGATTAATCAATTTTTTTTTAAGTTTTGAAGGTCGACAGGAGTGACGGAAATAAGATTATTTATCTGCACCTCGATATTATAATTGAAGCGTAATTGATTTACAATCGTGTGTGTAATACAATCGTTCTTTTTAGAAGTAATCAATTATACCTATCAAGTGTAGATAGTGTTGTAGCGTTAGCACACCTGCAGTGCACGTGACATGCAGATGTTAACAAGTGTTATTAACGTATGTTTTAATGCAAAAAAATTCTGTCAATTTTACCGATATTTGATCGACATAATACATACGTATATAACTTCCAATTATTTCAATTGATTACATCACACGCAAAACGAACTATTCTTTGACTTAATCAAAGAGATCACGTGAATGTCCGAATTGACCCATTTTATAGCGTTTTTCACTATATCAGAACTAGTTCATAAAGCTATTGTACTGCTAACTTAATCTGAATATAAAAGTGAGATATCTCAATTAATAAAATACCCAATGTATATTTTATCAAATAGCACATTAAATTGTATTGAGGATTTCACGGTTTAATTTGTTTCTATATTTTTATTAAATGTACATTTTTACGTCGATTTGTGTACAACGGCTTTAAAGTGCACTGAGTGCGTGCACCAACTGTGCTAGTGAAAAACGCTATTAATAGATTTTTCTGATAGAAGATCTGAATCAATATAGATGATTTTCAATTTCAAAATATAATTCTAATCACTTAAACGACATTCTACAAATGATGTAAACTGTAATTTAAAATTGTAACTTTTATTTCATTTAACTTTAATAGGAGATGGGTCGGGTGGAAAACAAACGTAAAATCCAATGAATTTGATGTCCTGATATTTACTCAGCGATGGCCATTGACAGTTTGTTTCGAATGGGAAAACAAGTCGCGGTTAAACGGTAACAGCACGCACAGTTGCGTGTTACCAAAACGTAACGAGTGGACCATTCATGGAATTTGGCCTACGAAATATCATGAAATAGGTCCGCAGTTTTGTAACAGGTCGTTATCATTTGATTCAAAAGCTCTAGCACCAATAGAAGGAGCATTAAAAGAAAACTGGATCGACATACAGAAAGGGTCTAAACCTTATTCGTTCTGGAAACACGAGTGGGATAAACACGGCACTTGTGCAATCTCAGTACAAGGTTTAAACAATGAATTTAAATATTTCCAAACAGGTTTAAAATTACTCGACAGGTACAATATGATAGACGTACTTGCGAAAACAAATATCTTGCCAGGTAACAAATATACGGTACAAAATTACTTAACGGGAATTCAAAAGATATTAAATAAAAAGGGACAAGTAATGTGTGTGGTTGACCAGGTAAGTTCAAAAATTGTTCCAATACGGATAAACGACATTTTGTATAGTTTCTTTTCGGATATGAAAGAAAACTATCAATATAAAAAAAAACATAATAATAAACATAAGTTTTTACTACAAATGTATACTTTACTTTCTTCCAGAAAACGAAAAATTCATATGTGAATGAGATAAGAATTTGTTTTAACAAGGCATTACAACTGGTAGACTGTGATGGCATATATCATTTTCCTACCAACTGTAATAGATCCCAACAGATAATATATCCTAATATTATACCACATCACCACAAATATAACGTAAAACTGATATAACGGTAAAATTAAAGGCATAATATTTATATGCATGTGTGTGCAAGCTAGATAAAATCATATAAATAATATCATATCACATATATGACATACAGATCAATTTCAAAATAATTTATCGTGACAAGAAATTAACAACAAATATTTACGAGTTAAACAATGTAATTTTTAGCATTCTTAATACGTATTTAAAAAATATTAAAAGTATCAATATTTAAGTAATATTAGAAATATATATTTCAGATTAAAATATCGTCTACAAAATAATTAAAATAATTACTAGGTTAAATAATACTTGTATGTACGATTCAAAAAATACGAAAAGAGCAGATCGGTTGAAAATTTAAATATTAATGCACAAGCCTTAAACTGTTCATCATTTAATTTTTAATCGTAATGTTATTTTTTTAAATGCAATAAATATTCACCGTTAAGAAAGAAATAGACTATACAGAAATCAATTTCAAAAAAGAAATTCATCATATCACACACGAGTTTATCATTTATAATAAAGAATATCATTATATTAGAGTGAATGTCTTATAATTAATTTGTATGATAATATACATTAGCATTTTTGCTTACAAATTAGGGCATTACTGGCTACATCATTCCGCCTTCTTCTGAACGATCACGACTGCTGAGGGTACTAGGCCTGCAAGTAAAAGAAGTGCCATATCTCCAGGAAAAGTTTTTATACACTAAATATGTTAAATATAATCACAATAACAATGAATTATCACATTACAGCTGATAAAATTGCATAATTAATTAATAGAATTGCATTTGCATCAATAAGCAATAATAGGAATTATAAGTTGTATGGAAATATAACAATAAATTATCAATACAGCATACCTAATACATCCAATGGCGTATCATAATCCTCATCCGTAAACACTTTTTTGGGAAACGTGGTCATCAATTGGAAGGGACCATTATCGTCTGTCCTATTCATTTCAATAAACAGTCTCACTGCAGACAATTGTTCCTTGCTTCCAAAGCTTTGGGTCAAGGTTTGTCCATTGGTCAGCCTAAGCTAAAATGTAATTGTTTGAAGAATGGTCTGCATATTTTTTTACTTATTTCATACGCATTTTATATCATATACCTGAAGCCTGGTTTCGGTATAATCCTTCCTATGGTGTGTAGACGTAGATGAAGGTATTGCGGGTAATGGGGCTGAAGTTGTATTAACCATTTGATTGCTTTCAGCAGCTGCTTTAGCTCGTCTTGCTGCTTTATCGGCTTCGATTTGTGCTCGAACTCTTTGCTTTGCCTCTTTTTCCTCCGCCTTCTCCCGTTTTCTTTGCTCCAGAAGCTTCTGCATCTCTAATTCTTCCAACCTATTACACATATATAAATAAAATACAGATTTGTTCTTTCTATTTCAATTTCGTTACTTTGTCCCTTACTTTTTCCTGGCCTCAGACATTTCCTTTCCCGATCGTATCCTATTCTTTTCTCTTTCAAATGCATTTTTCTTTTCCTGCTCCTCTCTCTCCTTTCTCTTCTGTCGCAACTTTTCCTCTAACATCTTCAACTGTTCCCGCTTCTCTTCTTCAGTCAATGGCTTCTTCTCCTCTGTGCTTTCAGAAAATCTATCGTGTCCGGACTTTGTGGCATGAAATTCAACTTCTAAGTTAGATTTGAAGAGTTTTCCACATCTACAAAGACAATTTGAAAAGGACAGGTATACTTATTGGAAGTTTCATTGAGATAAGACTATCCTTCAAGATCCAATTAAAACGCGAAGAAAACTTTTAACAACTGCGAAGTAAACATTTCTTTTGTACGTGGTAGTGATACTAATATTCCATATAAAAGCATAACGCGACAATCTCGATGCTTAAAGGAACATTTATTCCAATATTTAGATCATGCTTCAATACACTGCCAATACTAATAATCTATAGTTCAGGTACATTATATTTTCTAAATTCTTTGATATAGAATTTCACTAGAAGAATAAAAAGTAAGCTAATTTCGAAAAAAAAAAAACAGCTCAATTTTTAATCTTTAAGAGTGAGATCTGTTTTAAAAGTTTTAGAGAATAGGTTTTCAGTAGTTTTGGCAATGTCTATCCGAACACAGAACCTTATAGCGTTTTTCTACTGGGAAAATTAGTGCCAAATGTAAATCCGATATATCCATTTTCAGTGTCAATAAATAATTTAATCCTTTCAAAGTTATGAGATTATTATATGATAACAGAGAGATATGTAATTAAAATGATTAAATCATTTATTAACACTAAAAATATTAATTATTTTGTATCGTACTCAATGTACACCAGTGTCTTGTACTAGGTTTCTCAGTGGAAAACTCTATTAGAATCTTATTCTTGCAATTCATCAACATACACGTCGCACTTCATAGACTTCGCCGATTCAGTCGTGGAAACCGGTTGACTGCTAGCACCTGCGACGTTATCCTGCGAGTCGGTAGACAGCATCGGAGCACTCTCGCCTACGGCTGGTCCTGGTTCAGCCTCATCCGAATGAGCCAATAGCCTATAATAACAAATCGATAGCGTCACAACGCGACGAGAATTACAATAGCAATGTCTTCGTACCATTCCATAGCCGGCTCCACGCCTTTGTTACCGGTTATCTCCAAAGCCTTCTCTCTGTAACAAAACCGTCGAATCGTCAACATAGGTTATGCTTCGACGATGCGACGTTTATCTACGAACTTACGCCTTGGACATACTGAAACCCATGTCCACAAGGATCTCTATCACACCCGACGACATTTCGCGCTGCTCGCTGCCGCGTTCGGCGAATGTACCACCTTGAAAAAGTCGTTCTGGCCGAACACAGTCGTCCAAAAGTTAAATGTCACGTCGAATCGACGCGCTACTTGCACTCTAACTACTCAAAGTGATTCCAAATTCCAACGCAAGCTCGAATCGCATGCGAGATGGCGACAGGTTCACGAGCGTCAATTTTGAATTAGAGAATTGTTTAATAACATTCCGCAAAAAATACAAATACAAAATAATATTAACAATCTTCCGTGAATAACGGTTAGACAATAAAATTTCAATGAAAGAGATTCGATCTTCTCATTTACGACTGTTATTATAAATGTACGAAAGGTATTTGACAACGGAATGTGTAATCTTAAAAGTTCTAGGTCTTTCTATAACGAAGTTTTATTTTCATATATTTAAATGAGGATTACACGTATCTGCGAATTGAACTTCACATAGGGACGCAATGCTATTTATTTTTGCATCAATATCGTTTACATTTAACAAAAACATTCAAGCATTAATACAATCTTTCAATCAAATCTTCATTAATAGGATATACAGTAGAATCAGAATAAAATTAATGAGGCTAAAGCCTAAAATTAGAATAAAAAGAATAAAAGAGAAATGTGTTTGTATTTGCGCGTGTAGGAAATATGTATAACAGTAGCATTTAAATAAGATAAAATTGTATCATAAATAAAACATGCACAATTCATTAATAATTATGTAATCTTCAAATTAAAATTTCGGATTACCGTTCACTAGTTTCTAACCGAGACATCAGTTATCAAATATACCTTAAGATGGCAATTATTAATTAAATAAAATACTTTCAACGGTTGATAACGAACAGGATTTAGCAGAGAACATAAAAATCGAACCGGTAATACCTAACTCCATATAAACGCAATAAAAATTTGCTTGGCGTAAATTAAAATAAAAGACAGAGAAAAAAGAACGTTCACAGATCTAAATTCGTGAAAATTGATGGAATAACAAGGAAATCAATATGATAATGTAATGGCTAAGCATTCAGCAAAGAAAGTAGCTTTGCAACTATAAAATTCTTCGATACGATTGGTTTATACATTTAGTTTCTGTGAGGAACTAAAGGCAAGACAACCAAATCATATCAAAGCATTTAACAAGTAGCAAAGCTGCTTTCTCTGCTGAACGCAACCGATGTTTGTTATCAATCTCCATAATTTTTTATCATCAACCATGTAAAACCAGCCCTGTTGCACAGATTTGTAAGGACATTCGTTCCTTTTCCTCCGGTTTTGCGAAATAAAGGCATGTCTCTAGAATTATGGTTAAAGTTATAAACGTGTAATAATCTAATATTCCTGCGACGCCTTGTCGCCCTTTCCAGAGCCACCGGTACCGGTCTTCTTCGGCAGCAGAACCGCTTGGATATTAGGCAGGACTCCACCTTGAGCAATGGTCACTCCAGACAACAATTTGTTCAATTCTTCGTCATTACGAATGGCCAGTTGCAAGTGGCGTGGGATTATCCTGTAAAAGATGAATATTTATACACAATTTGAACGAAATACACATACATAAAAAAAGAAAAAAGAAAAAGAAAAAAAAGGCAAACATTACAGATAGTTGTCACAAATTCTTCATCTTAAAATTCCATAATTCTAAACAAAATTTTGGATTTTCCCTGAATTTAAATAATATTTTGAATTTTTTTGTTGTATCTTCCCTGATTTGGAAATCATTAAATATTTTGTTGAAAGAGAGAGAGCAATTTAACATAACAATGTAAATTATAGGTGTGGTATATGAATATTGAACTTTTTTACCAAGAATTTTAATTTTCCAGAAAATTCTGTGACATTTCCAAATTTTTTACTTCCTTGATTATTTTCAATTTCTCTAACATTTCTCAGACTCTTAATTTCTAGTTGTGTCAACCTTGTATTAGAATAATCTAGAAGTTTTCTGTTTTTATGAGAACAAGGAAACAAACCATTACATTTAGTCTACAATCTCAAAATAGCCATATAATTTTATAATTTCCATATAAAATAAAAGTTCTTTTTGCTTTCTGCTTACATTTTGCCTGTTCCTTTCTTTTGCGATCACTTTATTGACAATCGTGTTTCTTGCCTAGAGTTGCCATATCAAAATTTTCAAAACTAGAATAACTTACAGGCTAAAAATCTTGAATATTTCATTTAAAACTCTGGATGCATATAAGAATATATGTAGAATAGTAAAATTGATCAGAATTAAACGAATAATTATTTCACATTTAATTATTCATTAGTGGTACTAATTTGATGTAAGAAATTGACCAATCATATGTTATTCTCTTCACATTCAACTGTGATTAATCAGTTTCTTAGCTTAAGGATTACTATACCTATTAAATTAGGACTAATATAAAATAACGAGAAAGAGAAGTAAAAGTACAAAATTTAGAAAATTCGTTGAATCAGAATTATCCTAAAAAAAAAAAAAAAAAAAAAGGATAGTATCCAGGAAAAAGAGGAAGATCGAATGGCGACTCTTGCCATGTGTTTCTTGTCTCTTCCCAAGTTTATTAATTTTTTTATTTCAGGCGACAGAAAACAAAGACGGATAAAAGACAAAGACAAAAAATAATTAAAAACAAGAAACAGGAAACAAAAGGGCATATTGTAGATTAGGCTTTTATGTTATATGTATATTCAAATAAGCCAAAGCAATCCATGTTGGCTAAGGTTAAAACACGAAACATGCCAATATCCACGTTACAGTTTGTAAAAATTCAAAAAACGAATAGTAAACAAAATTTCTCCGAGATAAACGAACGAGATAAAACCTCGCGCTTAAACAGCATTAATATATTTCTACGCAAGAAAACAACGTCAAGAATGATAGAGAATTAATTTCCTTAAAACCAAATCGGTTAACGGCAAAGATCTATATTCCCTCTGTACTACGCCTAGAGCCGAGGGTGTGAAGGAAACCGAGCGAGACGCAGACACGAGATAGAAACAGGAAGTCACAACGAGAGAGACGGAATGAGAGAAAGCGCGCGCGCGCGCGTGAGAGAGAAAGAGAATTGAGGAAGGGCTTGCCTAGTCTTTTTGTTATCCCTGGCAGCATTTCCAGCCAACTCGAGCACTTCGGCCGCCAGATATTCCATCACGGCGGCGAGATAAACGGGAGCACCGGCACCAACGCGTTCCGCATAGTTGCCTTTCCTGAGAAGACGATGAATTCTTCCCACAGGGAACTGCAGCCCGGCCCTGCTGCTGCGGGTCTTCGCCTTCCCCTTAGTCTTACCTGGAAAAAAGACACGCACCAGGAGTGTCGTCGTCGTCGTCGTCGTCGTCGCCCGACGCTGCGAGATTTCCCTTTTCCTAGCTTCTTCTTTTTCTCTCCTCTCTTTTCTTTTCGTTCTTACTCACCACCTTTGCCGCGTCCAGACATGTCTTGCCGTTAAATCAAGTTTGCTTATTCCTTACACGAGGGAGGAACGGGGAGGAAGTGCGACTGTGAGATAGATAGGAAGATGCGCTCACGGAATCGTGCCGACACGCCAACACCGAACGCTAAAAGCCGAATGAAGTCCAATGAAGCCGCGGCTCGCGGAACTACGATGATAGTGCGCATGCACGTCGGATATTTTGGCGCCGATCGCTCGTTTGCGCGGGAACCCGAGAACAGCCGACGATCGCGAGATACTTCCCGCGCTCGAAAGTCCCTGCGATAAATTCCTCTTTTTCGAATCACTAGACAGAATTCGGCGCGAATTTAAACAAATGTTCACGTAAACATTTCGAGCCCTTTTGTGCTCGACGATATATACAATTTTGCTGCAAACGATTTACTCTGTAAATTGAACTAATCTAAGTTTGGTCAAAGTTTTTTTAACAGAAATTTGTATTTAAATTAAATTTTATTAAAAAATTTTTTTTATCTGTCATTATTTTCTTCTTGATTACATGAAAACTTTTTATTTAGGTTTTTATTATCCTTATTATTCGTTTCTACCAATATAGATTAATTTTTTAATCTCCATTTAATTTTTAATAAATTTGATTGAACTTATAGTGTGAATTGGTGCATATTAAAACCGTTGTATGTGCATTTAATTTGAGTGTAAACGTGAGCTGTAAATATTTTATATTTTACTTAACAACACAATAAAATGCATGGAGAATTTTACGGTTTAATCTGTGTTTCTATATTTACATTAAATACACTTTTTACATTAATAGGTTTGTTCGCGTTGCTTAAAATTCTCAAAAATTTTTGCACTTAAAACGAAATAAATATATATTCGGATGTTGAAAAGGAAGCGAAGATACTGAATACAAAAAGTAACGTGAGCAGATCTAATTTGAATACGACACAGCTTAATATGCACCAATGTGCACAGAATGCATTCAGTCGAATGCATCAAATCGAATTCACTATTACTCTTTGATTGATTATAATCGACAAATTGCATATTTACAATCGATATATCAAATTAAAAAAATATACATCTATATATCTATGTCTATAATTGTTTACAATTGCATTCAACATCGAGTTCTTTATATATAATCCAGCAACAAAAAGTGTCTAAAATCGGATCACAAGACGTTTTTTGCGTTTAAAAGACGGCTTAAAGATATCTTATGTCACAATTTTAGACTTTGTATTGTTTAGGAAGCTAAAATAAGAATGCAAGACTAACAATTATCTTTTTCTAAGTCTTCGACTCTAGAAAAAGATGAAGAGTAAGTTGAATTAAGATTAAAGTTAATCTATATATACGTTAGAAACGGACATAGAACAAGAAAGGAGATAAAATTTTAGAGAGCACAGACAATGTTTGATTCTCCGATGATCTTAGGATAAAAGAAATCAAATATGCAACATCTTCAGAGGTATATAAATGTCAATTATTGCGAAACCTTTTTGTCCTCGATTGGTTATAATCGACGGACCGCACATTTACAATTGAGTCGATACATCAAATTAAAAAAATATACATATGTCTATAATTGTTTACAATTGTCTACAGCGCGTAGCGTCGAGTCCCTTAAGGCTAAACTAAGACTTATGCAAGACTAGCGATCATTCTGTTGTTAAAAATCTACAATAGTTCCAGTTAAA